AGCGGGGGCTCTGTGGCTCAGGATCTGCGCCTGTGGCTGGAAGGTTGCTGGGTCGTATCTCGCGGCCGGTAGAGGAATCCTACTCCGTCGGGCCCCTGAGCAAGGCCCTTAACCTAATTATATCCAATCCTATATAGTATATCCTAACCCTAACCCCAACAGCTCCAGGAGTGCTGTAATAATAGCTGACCCGGCTCTCTGACCCCAAGCTTCTCTCCCTGTCTGTGTGTCTCATGGAGAGCAAGCTGGGGTATGCGAAAAGCCAAATTCCTAATACAAGAAATTGTATATGGCCAACAAAGTCATCTTATAAAATGTTTTTTTGGAATGTAAGACTACTTCACCCACAGAGAAAAAAAAAACAACAACTACTGCATAATTCTAAACAGTTGTTGATGGGCTCCCCTGGCACACCGTGGGGACTCTGCACAAACACTCTCTCACCCCATAATGTGGTGGTTGTTTCACATCAGCATTAAAGTGCCTTTTAAAGGATGGCAGCCTGTGTGTGGTAGGTGTCCAGGTAGATCTTTATGGGGAAAAAAGAGGTGCTGTGTCATCACTTCAAGAAATTTTAAGGAGATGTTTTAGAAAGATGGAAGAATCAAACAGTACAATACTGGCTTTCATGCAGGTCAACAGGCGATGATGCTGTAAGTATAAAACAGCATGGCCTGTGACTGGAAGTAAAGGTGACCATTGTCAATATGTGCAGTAATTTCTGCAGTCCATTGCCAGGGAAGTAACAGTGTACACTTCACCATAATTCATATGGTCATAGTTTTCTGCTGTTTTGGCAATAATGACATGTACTTTACCATGCCTGTCTTTAGAATTTTACTTTTAGCTGTTGTTAGCTGAACGGTCTAGCGGGCCTTGTTTACGTTGATCGTATTATAATCAAATCCTTTTTGTCAGAGATCCCGGTGGTTTGCCAATCTGTGCCACCAACAAGGATGTGAGCCAGGTGATAGTTTTTTTTTTTTTCGTTGTTCTTTTTGTTCCAAGGTTTTAATATGATATACCTGAAGGTGCTATACCTTTGTGAGCACTGTATCGTATAGAGTTAAATGTCAGCTTGTTCAACTGGAAAAAGGTTGATTTATGCAAAGTATCATTACTTCTGAAAAACAAATTCACAGAAATTTAACATTTTTAAAGATGAAAATGAAGAAACTATCTTAATATGTATGAAGGCAGTAACCTGAACAATACTGGAGGTCTTCTCTATCTATGTTATGCACCTGTGGCACAATTCATAATCTTCACTGGTTTACACTACCAGCCTGCTACATGCAGACTTTTATACAGTACATTGGCTACCCTGGCACCTCTTAACAGTAACGTTCCCAGTAAAAATCATATTGACTGCTAATTGAAAGAGACGTACGGGGTCCTTCATGACACAGAGACTGCTGCTGTTCAGCTCTCCAGCTGTATTGAAAACAGCTGTGAGGAGCCGGGCAGGTTCATATTAATGTGGTGTTGGAGCTCCTTCAATCTGCCTTGCGTTCAAAAGTAACAAAGCAATGAAGATTCTTTATTTTAACTGCTGGCAAAGCCAGCACTGTCATTAGTCTATAGAGTACCATATATTTAAAATTGTTGGCTAGACTACTCAAAGAGAAAATAGCAGAAGCTTAAAAATGAATGAACAAGCTACAGGAGAAAGTCTGCATCAGACACATTCGGGGCACATTCCAAAATCGGCAAAATCAAAAATCGGCATCATATTTTCTGGGATTTGGCAATGTATCACATTACTAGCATTCATCCTCAGGAGTATTGCTCAGGTGCAGTTTATAGTTTGTGTTCACTGCAATCACTCAATCCCTTTCTCTTTCGCTCTAAATGATCCTGTTGTTTCTCAATAATTGCTTGACTGGCACATCATTCATCATTGCTGTGTGGCCGTTTTCATAAACAAATGTAAGCATTCCACTCAAGGCTGAGAATCTATCTTTAAATATTGGATTGGTAAAATCAAATTAACTGGTTTATTAGGTGATGAGAACATTAAAAAAAATATATATTCTCAACCTTAAGAACAAAGCTCTGGTTTTAAAATAACTCCTGACGTTTTAGAATAAGCACAGGACACTCATTTTCTGCTGTAGGAAAAAAATGAAATCTGTTTTGATGGGATATGTCAGTTTTTCCAGAATTTATATCTTTCTCCAAAACTCATTTTGTCTCTGATGGCAGATATTTAGCCAATATATAGTGCTTTGTAAAAGAAAAAGTATTCAGAACTTGCACAGTTTTCAAATTTTTTGCTTTAAATCTTGCAGTCATGCCATTTTGAAGTAGCAATTAATATTTGTTCAAAGTAAAATAAATAAAGAAGGAAGTAGACAATATGAAAGAAAACTCCTGATTGTATACTGTATGTATTCAAACATTTTTGCCATGGCAAACCTAAATTAAAATACTGTAGGTATACAAAATTACCTTACGGAGCCACAACATTGTTTGAGTGGCTTCTGTCTGTATGCAATACTAGTGTTTTCCTTTATTTCTGAATTAAAATACCTGTCTCTGTGAGGTTTCTTGGTCAGGCAGTGAATTTCTTGCAGAGGCTCATCCATGTAGACTAAGGAGCTTCCAAAGCAAGTCAGGGATAAAGTAACTGAAAAGCACTGATCAGGAGAAGGGCATAAAACATATCTATGTCATCTCGCTTTCTGCAAATAATGTGAACAGAGCTAAAATACTGAACATATTAAAGATTGAGCCCAGTCTCCTGAATACTATAAATAAGGTTACAAGTTTTAACAGCCTGATAATGACCATCTCAACTAGTAATCAATTTGTCCATATTGACTACCTATGGCACATGTGGCATACTATCTCTAAAGGATTCTTCACCCAGATGGATAAAGCCATGCCTATTCAAAGCTCAAACTGAGATTTAAAGATTAGTGAAGTCCATTAAAGCAAATACTGGGCCATTCAATAGAGTAAACCTACTCTACTGGACATTTAGCACAGGCTTGATAACTGGTTATTGCATATTTTTGCATCATGACCACACTCACAGAATGTATATTAAGGAAGGATACTAATCTGCAAAAATCCCAAAATGAGCAATGTTTTTTATAAACACTTTTAATGTTTGATCTTGGGGCCACAACCATGCTCCTAATAGGCTGAAGGTTCCAAAAGTAATAAGAAACATCTTAAACAGCTTGTCGGAAAACTGTAATTATTATTGTGGCTTTTCTCTTTTAAAGTTTAACTAGCATTTCAGCCTCAGAAAACAAAAGCACATCCACGTGCAGCTGAAATTCGGAGAGGAATCTGAAGCCTGTTAATTTTTCCACACACGGTTTTAGTGCGTGTGACTGTGTGTCTTGAGCTCAGTTTGCAAAGATTGCCATATTAACAGGTGCTTTCTAAAAAAAATTTAAACCAACAGCGGTGAAATTTAGCCCTCTACTCATTGTTTATTTCTTTTGATGCCAATTTTTTTCAGAGGTGCAGATGTTGTTTTTGTACTGTGGTGGAACCTCCAGTTTTATATATATAGGTGTATATATATACAAGTCATTGGTCATGTTTCTTTTTATATGTGTCAATTACCACACTTCACAGTTTATTTAATTCCTCTGTCTGACATCCCACCAGCTATCTATACAGTATGTAGATCCTAAGAGTGACTCAAGAAAAAAAATCCTCTGTGATACATTGTTCCACACAAGAAATATACATTAAAAAAGAATCATTACTTTGACATTACTCATGACTGAAATTAACTAATTTAACTTTCTCTCATGATCTGTCGAGTCACGATACCCAGTTGGACACAATTTGGTCGAATAACGCATGATTTTTAAGTTGCAGGAGTTGTGATTACACCCATATTCAGATATCAGATTCCTTTTGCAGTCCTTTGTTACAAAGCGAATTCCTACCAGTTTATATCAAATAAAAGAGAATTAGCCTTCTAAATTAAATAAAAAAGATTACATATAAAAGATTAGTACAGTAGCTTTAAAAAATCTTACTGGCTCATTGGCAGCCTCCCACTTTACAGCCTCCTAAAGTGACAGTCATATCAGTTCGATCAGTCTGCTGCTGTGGCATCCTTAAATTTATTTTCCTTGGATCCATGCCACTGAGATTAAAAAGTTTATTGGAGAAACAGAACTCTTCCTGAAAGAAAAATAAGATTTTCTGCCGCAGTTGAGGGAGTTGGGGGGGGGGGGGGGTATATTTCCAGTATGACCCAGTTCAGAACTTGTACACGTGCCAGTTTATTCAATATGGAAAAAATGTGTATTTTAAAAAAGAGGTTTTTTTTAACTAAACTGTTTTTGAGGGGGTTTACGTCTGAAATTACAACACGATAAGGACTAACGCAGTACCTTATTTAAAAGGAATGTGAACATTTCACTAAATGTATTATGAAAACACAAAATCTGTAACTCATTTGTTGCTATTTTTTTACCTCAAATAATACACAGGGCTGAAAATATGATAACTGCAAACCACTTGTTGGTGAACATTTTGCTTAGATTAATGTGGTCTCTCAGGAATATTACTCCACATTGTTACCAGCAACTGTTTCTTGTCACATCCAAGCTTGAGAGTATGCAGTATAATTAAAACAATACTATACTGATTGTTTGTGTGTGTGTCGCTCCCTGGCAGTATTAACTGCTTCCTGCTCAGGAGAGGGCAAGAGTGATGTTTAGATCTTCAGAGTTGATAGAGAAGATGACAAAAGTAAAGAATGAAGGAGAAAAAGAATGGCCGCACTGAGAATTCTCCTGCTGCAACGGGGTTTCACCCAAAGTAGAAAAGAAAAATGTTTGTATTCTCACAAATCTTTCAGCATATTAACGTAAGAGGCTCTGCTTGCAGTTTAAACATTTCTTTATGAGTTTCGTTTCTCCCCCTTCCTGCTAATCGAAGACGCTCAGAACAAGCACAACATACAGTAATTAACGAACCCCAGCTATTCGGAGGCTGTGTGTCAGAGTGTGGGCGGTACTCACCGGTCCACATATCTCCGGCTGGGGTCCGAGATGATCACTCCTTGCGATGCGTGAGAGAACGGGGGCTCGCGCAGCAGCTTGTATCTCAGCGGCCGGCACTGCCCGCAGGGCGGGCTCTCGGGCTTGGATGTGAGCAGGGTGGCATCGATCTCCAGGTGCTGCTCGGAGGTGAAGACCTGCACGCCGTACACCTCCTCCTGGATGTTGAGCTTGATGGTCAGGGGGATGTCGCAGAAGGCGCTGCTGGGCCCCAGGGACATGTTGTTGCCGCTCGTCGTCAGGAGCACGATGTTGTGGATGGCGGGCGGGGCTGTCTCCTCAAAGGAGAAGAAGGTCACCCAGAAGGTGATAGAGTCGGGCACCAGTGGGTAGAGGAACTCCAGCTGGAGCATGCAGCCCTGAAGGGGGCAGGGAGGCCCAACGCTGCTGGACTCCATTCCTGAGTTGGGGCTCCAGGTCCGGACGCTCGGCTCGCAAGCCTGCTCTACATCCGGGGGGCCTAAGGGAAACACAGGGGACCCCGATGTCAAGCAGTGAAGGGTTCTCTGGAAACAGCATTGAAACAATGCCCCTGGAATGCCATCTGATAACAAAAAAAACTCCATATAATGCAGGTTTCTGCACATAAGAGACCACAGGAAAACAAAAGGAAGCACGAAATACAAGTACGGGTATTAAGAAAACATCAATTACCGCTGAGAATGAAAGTTCAGCCAATTGCACAAAATGGATATATGATTATATACCGGGGTGGTTCAGAAAGGTGTGAGCCTGATACTGCGCACTGCAGCTACTTCATCCCATAAGGAGCAAAGCGTAACGGCATGTCTCAGCACTTCCTACAGGCAAGGGCACAGAAGCACAGCAGGGGCCAGTGGAGGACGATTAAGGAAAACATACAGGTTTCCCATGAAGATGAGAAATACTCTGCTGTCTGATCAAAATGAAACCTGTCTGTTTAATGAAGGAGGAGGACTGTTTCCCCCCACCTGAATATGAGAAACATCATCAGACAACTGGATGGCTTTTACACGTCCTGAGCACCTCTGATTCAGGTTCCTCTTCTTTCCGACATTGGCAGTAGACACCAGTTTAAAAACAAACTGTACCCTAGTTTATATAATAAAGGTAAACACATGTAGCTGAAAAAATGCAGTATGCCAAAGCAAAAAAACGCACCAGAACACTGAAGCAAAATAAACATCCTGCAGTATGGGGATGAACCAAAAAGGAGTTAAAAAAAGACTCCCGTGACTTAAGGATGCATTTTTGGCTTTTGTTTTTCGACAGCAAAATTTCAGAGAGTTCCCTACAAATGATTTCAAAATCCCGTTCTGTCCATGCAGTGTTTTCATCGCCTAGCTGCTGTCTTAGGTATCTTCATTTCTGAAAGAAGCTTGCCCTTTCTAAAGCTTGTAAGTTAGACATACTGTAAATCTATAAGTAGTATCTGTAGCACACAACTGTATATCCATAACTAGATATCTATACATATATCCATATCTATATATCACTATATCCAACAACTATATGGTAAAATTTAATTTGAACCTTTTTTATTATTGTTTTTGAACTAAAATGACAAACAAGATGCAGCCTTTTCAAAATGCTGCCGCCAAGTTGCAAAGACATAACCATCACTCCAGTACTAAGGTTTGTGCATCGGTTGCTTGTGCATTATCAAGGAATCTAAATTCTAATTCTCAAGTGCCAGCTTTCTGCAGTTTTTAGAGACGCCTTTCAATTAGCGTCTGATTAAAACCTGGAAAACACAGCTGATCTGACTTCCTATCCCCTGAATTGATTGAATGAAGTCAGTAACGTCTGAGATGGAATTATAACTAGAAACAATCACAGTGCTCGGGAGCAGAGTTTACCTTCCTAGCTCAACTCCTGACCTAGATCAACTGATGCTGACAGCAGCTTTCCACTTTGTAGTCTGAACATGTCATATCTCAATCCAATTAGCGTTATGCTGTTTCCAGTCCAGGGCTAAAGTTGCTAAACCCTGAGCTATAACATATAAAGGCCTTCATGGGTCAGGACCCATCTATCTGCTTGCTATACAGTATATGTACCAGATTGTTCAGTGAGATCTGAGAAAGTACAGTAGGACCCAGGAACCCCATAAATCTGGCAAGAAATTTAGTTTTTCACAGGCCTTTCAGCTTCTAGTCTTCCAATTTTTGAAACTGTCCCAACTAACATCAGAAACTTCAGAACACTAGATTGTTTTATAGGCAATGGAAAATGTATGTTTTAGATGTTCCATTTGTAATGAAGTGTAACTGGATTTTGCTTCCGAATACACCTTGAATTAATTTTAGCAAAAGCATGCCAAGGTGTGACGAATACTACATAAGAGTACACTGTATTTGTATTGTACTGTATCTAAAAAATTAAGGCAGGTGAGATGAATTACAAAACTGCTGAATTTCAGTGGGATTTTTAAGTGAGATGGCACCACAGGCAAAGTAAATTCAGCAATGTACTTGTTCCCTGGTGAAGCCACAAGATGAAATGAGTTTGTTGCTTTTGGTTAGGTCTGAATGGAAGCAAAACCACAGCTAGCTGGGCACTCCTTTTCGAAAGAGGCCCAGCATTCAACAGGAGGGGTGCTATTTCAGATTACATTATAGCAATAGCTCTGTGAAGTTGTCCAATTAGTTAACTGAAAAAACATTTCATCATGCGTATAAAAAACAAAACAGTGACAGCAATCACAAAACAACCTCCAGAAAAAAAAACATATTCTGAGCAAGACTTAAGTCATAAGATTCGCTAAAGGTAGCAGTGGTCAGAATTGGTTAGGGCTTTAAAAGGGAGGGTTGGGAGTTCAATACTGTGTGGGGCACTCGTGTTATACCCCTGAACTCCAGTTTCCTCAGGTTACTCTAGTAAAATACCCAGCTGCATAATTGGGTACAAATGTAAGTCACTTTGAATAAAAGTTTCAGCCAAATAAGCAATAATATGAAGGCCTGCAGAACTACACGTCCTGGGATGGAGACATGAATGTAAGAACTCTTTGACGCCCAGGGTTTATTTGCAATAGAAGAAACATTAATAAAAAAAGGTCATTTAAAAGCACAATCAATGTCATTTCCAAAAAATGATGTGGTCATTTTCTTATTTTTGGCCAGATCCCAAGCCATTCTTTCTAAAGTTCCTGGTAGGTCAGTGTGCGTGTGATTGGGGAGGGGAGGGTGAGGGGAGAGGAGGAGGCGGGGGGCAGAGGGGAGCAGGGGGGCTATCAGGGAGACCTAAGAGGCCCAGAGAGATGGAGATCCTTTCCAATCGTGATGTACGCCAGGGGAAACTGCTGCAATTGCTCTTTTTGAAGCTTTAATAAATGTCATCCTTGTTCCACAAGGAAAAGCATACATTTTTCATGCATGTGGTTCCCTCAGTGAACGAGCCCTCATAGAGGGCTCCGTTGTCGGAGTGCAGGAGATCTAAAGAGCCGCTCACATGTTAAAAGCCAGAGCATAGTGGCGCATATTTTAAAGTTCCCGGGAGGCCCCTGCACAAGGCTTTCAAGTCAGAGGGGCAATTAGACCCCAAACAGTACAGTCCTGCCATATTTGGGTCGGCAGAAACCCACATTATTCACGGTGACGTACTTAACATTCATCAAGTGCTCAGAGGTGCCAGAGTCTGGTTGACACTGTGTTCTTGCGATTTTCTTTTGTACAATTCCAAACTGGCAACCACAAAACACATTTGCTAACCTCATTTCTGGGCTGCTCACAAAAATTCAATGTTTAATCAATTGAGCACTGAATTAAGTTTCCAGCTCACATTATCTCAGCACATTTATTACCATACGTGTGTGGCCAGGGATACGTAACCATGTACTGTAAATGATACTCTCGGCTGCTTGACACCTTTTTTGTCTTCAGATTTTTCATTGTGTTTGTCTTTTGTTGTTCTATCCATCAGCGTATTTTTTGTTCTCTAGTAATGTTTTGTAACATTAGTAATTGGACACAAGAATGGTATGTTGTTGTCGTTCATCTTTTTTTCTTAAGCTCCTGCCAAATGGTGTAGTAACAAATGAAAATAAAGGTTGTATTCACAAATCCTTCAGAAAAAAAAAACACTTGATTTTGGCAAATGCAGTCTAACCCAGTGGTGGTTTGGCACTAAATAATGAATATGTAAGCATGAATGTGTACCAGCCATGTCCAACATGAATGTAATTTTACCATAATCTAATTTATAATCTTCGTGATAACATACAGAACACATAAGTAGGGTGTTTATTTAAAACCCCTTTTATTGATGGGTTTCCCAATCCAAAGCCAGAAAAGAAATTGCTGTAGCAAGTAGTATGCAAAAATATTCAGTTTAAAATAAGTTACTTTTGCTAATGCACTGAAATTTTAGCTCGCAGAGCAAGATCTCACTTTTTGCGAATGTCATCTTTGGTTATGACAAGGCTCCATCTGGGCATTCGTTTTAATGGTTAGAAACAACCCAGCCACACAGTGAATAAACAGAAGTTGAGTATTAAAAGCACTGTTGTTGTGGTGGGTAAAGGGAATGACTGCCACCCTAAGGAAAACATAACGGTTGAGGAATAAACAAACTTTATAAAAAGACAGGCACTTACTTTATTACCTAAGTAGTGCACGGACTTTACAGACCAAAATACTGGGGAGTACAGTATGTAATATATACCTATTCTTCATTTTACAAAAGTAATCTAGCAACAGGGGAACCAGTTTGCCTTATAGTTTTATTGAATGTCTATGCTAGTTAGTGGCAAAACTAATAAATAAATGAAGCTTCATTGGAACATTTCATTAAAAAAACATTTTGCCTTCGATAAAAAGTACCGTCCTTTTGTGCATTCAATTTTTGTTGCTTCATAGTCTTTAGGGGGAGTTTATGAACCTGGTAATTTACATTTTAAGAAGAAAACGAAATATTGCCATTTCTGTCTATTAGATAATCCCTATAGAGATACCGGCCTCTCTAGGAAAGTCCTCTCTCTATGAAACACTAGAGATGAGAATCAAGTTAATTGGACTCATCTGAATATTTAAAATTAACTAAGTATGTCTTTACCACAAAGAGCTATGCAGGGATAATGCCATTCTGTTTTTTTTTTACTCTTAGAGGGCTCTATTCTAGTCTCTCTAAATCAACCAAAACAGGAGGGAATATGTCCAGGCATGCAGTCCACTTACTGGAAAGTGCTGACTTGTGCCACAATGCGTGCAACACACACACAAACCCACACACACGCACACGCACTCGCACTCATTCATAGAGCAGGCAAAAATAACAACAGTGTTAAACACCGAAAAATGTGACCAAACAAAAACCACTTGCCTGCATGTAAAAATGACTGTTGAGTAAAAACACAACAGCTAGCTGTGCCAAGTGTGTGTGTGTGTCTGTGGGTGTGTGTGGGGAGGGTGGTGGTGGGATTTGAAGGGGAGGCATTCAGTTGTAAACATTTGCTTAAGATCACTCTCTCAGCCTGGCATA